CAAGGAAGATGGGCTCAAACTGCACAGACACATCTTCTCAGAAGGGTGCAAGCAGAAGTAATTACAGGGCAAACAAGGCCATGTGGATGGCACACTAATTCACCAGCCAGAAGGTCTGTGACAGATTTCACAGGATACAACACAGACTTAGAAATTATGCTACAGAAACAGACCTTTGAGACAGCAGACTCAGGATTTAATGAGAATTTTGCAATCCAAGACTCCTAAATCCTGGTAAAAGGAAATTACTTCCTAATCACATAGGAGAGCTCAGAAGGAATACCATCCAAATGGTGTACTTAAAGAAATATTTTAATTAAGAGAGTTAAATAATAATACAGATCCCAAGAGAGAAGGTGATTACAAGAACCCATGAATGAGTAGTAAATCTAGAAAAAATATGTGGTCAAACAAGTTAATACTGATAATTTGATTCAAAAATTTGATTCATACCTTAAAGGTTATGAGGGAATCTTGAATCAGAAGAGTCAAAAACATATGGCAGGACTTCTCAACTATGGCATTAGTGACATTTGGGCTGGATGATACTTTACTCGCAGGGGGTGGTTCCTGTAATGTGGGGGAGATGCCAGTAATTTGCCATTCTCCTTGTTGTGACAAAAATGTGCCCAGATAATGCCAGCTAGCCCCTGGGGGGAAAACTGCCCAATAGTTGAGAATCACTTTTATAATGCCATGCTTACCAATTTGAAAATATCTAGACTCTGGGTTCTAGCTATATCTCTGGAGAGCTTATTTTCTGTTAAGTCCACACTGCAGGTTCTTTGGCTCTGTACCGTGCACGTGGAGCTCATGGGTAAGGGGGAACTTCTGTGAATTAATATACAGAACGAGGGAGTCTCCGGAATTGAAAGGAAAAAGGAGGGGAAGTTAAGACAGGGAGAAGTGAAGCAAGGTGATGGCATGCGTTTTCCTAATCCCCAAAGCAATTCCTAAGGAGACAAAACGACCTAACTGGACAATCTCGGAATTCTGGATAACCACCAGAAATGTGAGGGCCAGAGAGAGGAGAGCCTCCAGCTGCAGTCAGTGGCACAGCCAAGGCCCCCATGCAGGACCTCAGTGAAACCACCTCAGCCAGTGCACTCGGGAAGGGGCATCTTCTATGTTGGAGAAACATAGTGAGCGGCTCAGGCGGTAAATCTGCAACAGCTGGTTTTTCTAGGAGAGTCTAGGGCATAGTCCCAAATTTATTTGGCCTACTGCTCATCCCCTTCTCAGAAACAAGAAAAAATAATTCAGCTCCCCTCTGGCAATTAAAAACATTTGTATTATAGCCCATAATTGAGGACTAACTATAGGTACCTGCTTTTGCAGCCCCTGATCATTCCAGTGTCCCACAAGAAGGAATATTGCCCACTTTGGGAAACACTGGTCCAGGCTTCGAACTGCACAGCTGACACTCCCAGCCTGGAAGTTGTATGGCCATTCCCAGGTGGCAAGACTGGAGTTGGAAGTCAGGAAGTCAGTGGTAAATCTACCACACTACTGTGCCCAGGGTGGAAGTCTGGGGCTGGAGCTCCACAAGCAACCCTCCTATATAAGGAGTCTCCTGGTTAGTCTCTGACAGCTGGAATTCCCAGCTGAGAAAACCTGGGGCTAAGGTTTCCCGGCTATCCCAGCTGGGTACTCTGGGGGCAAAGGTGCAAGGTCATTATTCCCAATTAGGGTGCCTAATGGAGAAATAGACACAACAGGTACTCCAAGGCAGAGAGACCAGTGCTGAGGCTGAACAGTCAGCATCTCAACTCGAGAAGTCAAGAAGTGAATCATTGACAGCTAATTCCCCCAAGAAAGGAGCCCAGCAGTGAAGTGACCAGTAGGGGCAGTAAATTATTTAATGTAGCTTTCTAACAAGTCTCAAACTCCCACCACATAATGACCTTTTCTTGCCTGAGACTGGGTAATAAAATGGACAAATATATCAATACAACTCACCTGGGAATAATTATGAACAAAATTCATTGGAATGTCATTCGAATGGGTATAAAATGAGCGCTCCAAGAGGGAGAGGGGATCTCATTACCAGCAAGAGCCAAGAGTGGATGGAACCCATCCTCTGGACCTTGAGATTTGAGACAGTGAACCTCTGGCTCCAGAAGACAGCTGTCATTAGAGGAGAAGCAGCAGAACAGGAACCAGAGCATGAAACAGAGAGGGTGGACTTCCAGCCACAGAGCAAGTAGAGCTGAGTGTTTGGGGGCAGGAAGCTGGCTTGTAGAGTGAGGAACCCCTGGACACTAAATTCAGGGAACTTGGATTTGCTGACCCTTGCAGGTGGGGCTGAGTGCATTTAGGCTGATGGTTACTAGAGTGGAGGGGGGGGGTGTCGTTGGCACTTAACTCAGGGAGCTGGGTTGCTGAACCAGAGATGAATGGCTGTTGAGGCTTACAGCAGAGTACCATCCCTTTGGGGCATTAATTAGCAGCCTGAAAGAGCTTTCTATCATGTTCTTATGAACAACTATATCCTGAGCATTTCACACTTGCATTACAACCTGTTATCTTCCTTAATGAACCCACAATCATTAATATTGACTGTGAGTGCTGTGCATTGCAGCAAACGTTAGAACCTAAATGGAAAAGTGGACAGTACTGTTCGAAACAACTCATGGTCTAAGAGGCACACTAAGATGGGGAGTTTGGTGCTGAAGCAGAGAACTATAACACTCAATAACTTAAAGTAATAACAGCAATAAAAGAATCAGCCATCATTTTAAGTCTCTCAGTTTCAAAAAACATCACAAAGTGTAAGAAGAAACTGGAAAAGATGGCCAAGCAGAAGACCAAAGAACCTATGACAGAAACAGTCGCAGAGAAAGGGCAGATAAGGGACTTACAAGATAAAAATATTAAAGCAACCACACTAAGCATGCTCAAAGAGCTGAAGGAAAATATGGGAAAAGGAACCAAGAAGAAATGTAATATGAAAGAAATTTCTGCAAAGATACACAGAAATTTTAAAAAGAACTAAGCAAAAACATGAGTTGAAAAGTACAATTAAAACTACATGTATTAGGGAGTTCAGCAGGAGATTTGAACTGATAGAAAAATCAGTCAACTGGAAATACATCAATTGAAATTATTAAATTTGAAGAGCAAAAAGAATAAGTAAAACCTAAGAAGCCTGTGAGATACTACCATACAGCCTAATGAAAGGGGGCTTCAAAAAGTGTGGAAAAATTCCATTATCTTTTAATTCTATTTTTCCATAACCATTGTGAAGCTCCCTGACAGAGTCCCAAAAAGAAAAAAGAGGCAGAAGAAAGTTGGGGGAGAGGAGGGTGGCTAAACTTTCCAAAGCTGATGAATGACATGAACCTACATACCCAATAAGCTCAATGAAAGCCCAGAGAGGATAAATGCAGAGAGCCACTATACCAAGACACGTTATAATTAAACTTTCAGAGGAAAATAAGGCAAAAAAATTTTTTGAAGCTATAAAATTAATACGTTTTCACACACAGTATCAACAATAAGATTAAATGTTTTTTCTCCTCAAAATGAGGACCTAATGTCGGGGGTTTAAGTGGAGAGAAAATGTTTTGAGAAACGATGTACATATGCGCTTTACACAATTGATGTGTGTATGGATTGGGATAACAGTTGTATGAGCCCCTAATAAAATGTTTAAAAAAAAACAACAACAAAAAAAACAAAGCACCAATAAAAATTAAAAAAATCACAGAGTAAAGAAGGGAATGGAATGACATAATAAAGTTACTAAAAGAAAAAATTATCACTGTATTCAAAAATGGGGCCAATATTAAGACAAAAATAAAGAACAGCTTTATTCTTTATTAAAGGCACTCTTTTGGCAAAGTACTCACTGGTATCAAGTCAATTTTGCCTCGGAGACAGTAGAAGGAGCACATGTAAGGTATTTTTGGTTGTGAAATACTTATTCTGATTTTTTCACTTAAAAAAGATAATCCTTATATTAGAAAAATAATTTAAATCTTAAAGTACTATAATATTAAAAAAATTTGAGCATATCATACTAATCTTTCTACAGACCCCACATTCATTTTAAAGAAAAAATTCATTGGAGAAACAATTTCTCTTGATTTATTTTTATATTAAAAGTGACACAGCTTACTTTAATTAGAATGAGTTCCATTTCTATGTGACAGAAAAACATAGAATTTAGCCATTACGAGTTGACACCAACTCACTTCACACTTTATTTTCCCCATCAGCTTGTAAACCTTAGTGTTCAAACCTCACCTGGTGTGTGCTAGCTTACTCTGTAAAGGGCCAAATGGCAAATAATTTTGGTTTTGTGGGCCTTAAGATATCTGTTGCAATCACTTAAACCTGCCAGTATAGCCTCAAAGTACAAATATAAAGAAGTAAAAGTGGCTGTGTTCCAATAAAACTTTGCTTAAGGACAATGAACTAGGACTTTCATAAAATGTTCCTGTGTCCAAAAATAGTATTTGAGAATGTTTTCTACCATTTAAAAAATGTGACCACCACTCTTAGTTTGTGAGTCATACAAAAGAAGGTGGGATGTGGTAGTGTGCGGAAACTTGATGGAGAGAACTGCTTGTACACAGGAGGGAACCAGCCCTTCTTTGAAGCTAGAATTGGACTAAAAAATCATTCTCATTCCAATAGCATTTGCAAATCACCTTCCTTTATCTCATAAAAAGGCAAAAGGTCATAATTCTTAACTTTTGAACAGCAACTCTGAGAAGCTTTAAGAACTGCTGAAAGAAAAAAACATTTGGATTTCAATTATATTTACCAAAGAATTTTTTTCCCATTTTTCATAAGAATGAAAATTCTGAAGATAAAGCTGGAAAGGAAGATAACAGATCATGGCCCTAATGTTTTTATATTGTATATTTATGTTTTACTATGTATACTATATATATTTGCCAAGAAATTGTAAATCATACCCCATCCATAATTATGCCTCTCACTCCCAGATAGCATACCTTGCTATCAAAATTAAAAGTACTAGTGAAACTCACCATGTTCTAAAGATTCATCTTAGAGAATTCAGTAATTTTCCAAAGGCATCTTACAGTATGAGATTCAGTTTCTGGGTTTCAGCAACTTAAAAAAAGTCAAAATAATAATTTTGTAAAACAGAGTATTTGTGAAAACAATGTTAACCAAATTCACAATAACACTGCCTCCAACATTTCCCCTCTTTCATGTACATAGTATATACTAGTGGACTCATATATGTCATGAATTCAAAATGCAGAAATGAGCATGTCAGATTCCATCATGCCCTTTGGGAATGTGCACCTTCACAATGTGTTGGGCAGCTCCCATTGTGATTAAAGACTTGAATACGGGCCCAGCCAACTTGATGAAACCCTATCAAAGCCTACCTCTTGTCAACTTGGCACCTGGTGCATCTCCTTAAAACATACATAATCTCTAAATAAAGATAATAATATAAAGTCATACTTGTACCTAACGTAATACAACTAAAACATACAACTGAAAATGCATTACCCAATTTACATCTTATATTTTATAAATGAAAACAAAAGTATGTGATGAATACATACTAGGAGGAAATACTCTTAAAACAATTACAGTCCTCATTTCTGTAACTGCTCATGTAGTTGTAGCTGGTACTTAGAACTATTTTCTTCCACCATCAGGAAAAAAGGTGAATGAGAAGTGACACAATTTTCGTGAATGAGAAGTGACACAATTTTCCCTAAGTCAAAAAGAGCTAAAAGGGTAAGCCCATTTTTGAACCTTCACCACCTGACTGAAAAGTAATAGCCATTCTGAAGGTCTCCTGGAAGCGAAGCCTTTGGGAATGTGACAGAGGCAAATTCCCTGTAGAGAATGATCCTTCTGAAAGCTCTTTGCAAGTGCCTGAAGGAAAACTTCCCTGAACCAGTCACCAACCTCTCTATGGAAGGATGAACTGACCATCAGGTGCCTAGGCTGTAGAATGATGCAGAAATCGGTCTCAGTAACATCCTCAATTACTAATTAATCAGCACTGTGTAAAGTCCTGTTCTAAGTGCTTTATATATATTAACTAATTCAATCTTCACAACATCTTATTATATAGGCACTTTTTCTCCCTGATCTGGTTATTGTGACAAATGGCTCAAATTGTAAAAATTCTGCTCTGTTCCTGTTTCATTTTGTCAGCCAAGTCAGAACTGGTTCAAATCAGATCAAACTCCTGATTAAGGGCAAGGAGGTGTTGACCATAAATTGAATTATTTGTAGCCTAGGAACTGCCTGTACATTAATTTGGTAAATCCTACCAAATGATTAGGTGGGACTATACAAATAGGATCTGTGAAACACTGAAAAAAAAGGGGGAGACTGGTCAATTTTGGTTGTCATTTCTCTGGGTATAAGAGAGCTATCTCATAAGCAGGCACAGAGAGAATTTCCAAGACCATTAAGAAGAGCAACCACAGAGCATGTTCAAGATCCCTACCTGAAGTGCTGGTGGCTGAGACCAGAGGCACCAGAGGCTGCTGCATTAGAGACCATGGGACAGAACAAAGGAGCCAGCCACATCACGACAGCACAGGGACTGTGCAACTGAGACCTCAACACAGTGCAATGAAGAGGCAAGCAGCCTTTCTGTGACAGGGAGACAGGGGCCAAGGGACCACGTGCATGAGAGGCTGAGGAGCAGGGAGAGATACTTATTTGCTGGCTGAGAAGAGGTCTTGCTGTGGACCAATGACATTATCTTTAATGTTTTCTGATCCTGGCTTATGGTGGTAACCTGTTGAACTTCTCTATTATAGCCTTTTAATCATGAGTATTGTCTGAGTTCTGTGTGGCCATTGTCCCCCCCCCCCCCCCACTATCATGATCCCAATTCTATCTTACAAATCTGACTAGACCAGAGGTGAATCCAGGACAGATGTCCCCTTCAGGACCAGTGGTGAGAGTGGCGATGCCTGGAGGATGGAGGGAATGTGGGGTGGAAAGGGGGAACCAATTACAATAATCTACTACAGCCTCCTCCCTGGGGGATGGACAACAGAGAAGGGGATGAGGGGAAACGTCGGACAGTGTAACATATGACAAAATAATAATAATTTATGAATTATGAAGGGTTCATGAGGGAGGGGGGAGGAAGGGGGGAAAACGAGGAGCTGATATTAAGGGCTTAAGTAGAAGGCAAATGTTTTGAGAATGATGATGACAATAAATGTACATATTTGTTGACACAATGGATGGATGGATTGTGATAAGAATTATACGAGCCCCCAATAAAATGATTTTTTAAAAGAGAGTTTTGTATAAAGGGTAAGTGTACACTAAGAAAGCATCCCAACCCAGTGCTGTCCAAGCCCATAAGTCCAACATTAGCTCATATGTCCGACATCAATCTACAAAGTCCTCCTCAATCTCACAATACACCCGCAATGACACCGACTGCAGGAGGAAAGCTAAATCAGTGAGCATGTAAGCATCTCAGAGCTGACAGGGGTCTCCATACAGCTTCTCCAGCACCCAGGGCTGTATAAGGGTCAGTCCATGTGGCTTCTCCTCAGGGATGTCTCACAGGAAGTGAGCCTTGCCAGCTGAAGCAGGGAACTGGCTCAGGCAGCTGCACCCTGTTCTGACCATCAGAAAGCAGGAGACCCAAGAACTAGAAAGGCGAGGCTCACCGAGCCATTTATCTCTCCGCCCTTCAGTTAATCCCACATGTGTTTATTGGCCAGGTTGGCACAATAAATCTTAACTATCGCGAGACTGAACAGTGGACATCATGGCCCAGACAGCAGGTAAAGCAGAGCACCTTCAAGCAGGGGGCTAGCTTGTAGAGTGGGGTTCTTCTGTTAATTGAGGGAGCTACGTTTGCTAACTCCTAGAGCTAGAATTTAGTGCCTTCAAGTAGCTTATGGTGAAGCGGTATGCCTTTGGACATTTATTGGCAGCCCTAAAAAACTTTTTTTTTTTAAATTAATCAATTTATTGGGGCTCATACAATTCATCACAATACATAGATCAATTGTGTAAAGCACATCTATACATTTGTTGCCCTCATCATTCCCAAAAAAACTTTTAACACTGCATGATCACAGAAAATGTCACTACGCCACGGGACTGAGAGGCCAGACTAGAGAGGACTGCATGTGAGCTCATCTAAGGGGCTGTCTTGTCCAAATAATTGTACCCTGAGCTTTTGCAACTTGTTAACTTCCTAAATAATCCCCAAATTGTAAGTACTGTTTGTGAGATCTGTGTGGTCATTGCAATGAATTATTGAGCCCCGTTGAGAGGCAGAGTGCTTTGGGTGGGATGGTTGTGGGGGCTGGAGGCATGTTTGACCTCAAGTCACATTGGCCGTGACTATCTAATGTAGATGATGAAACTTACCTCCTCCCTTGTGTACCTGTAGGGGATCAGAGTGGTACCCACATGATTTCTTTTCATATCGAATCTAACTAAATTAGAGAAAGTTAGTCTTTTAGAGGGGAAGTTAGAGAGTCAAACTTTTATTATATGTGGCAATGTTAAAATATTAGCTAAATAGAGTATATGAATATATACAGTCATATAAGTATGGATGCACCAGTAGTTTCTGCATTTATTATGCTCATAAATTTTGTGCATTCATACTATGGCTGAAAAGTCCCTGAGCTAGTAACCAAAAGGCAGGCGATTCAAACAGACCCAGAGACTCCTCAGAAGACAAGCCTGGCGACCTGCTCCAAGAGGCCATCCACAGCCGTAAAAGAGTATGACTAACCTAACTTTTTAGCTTGATTTTTACAGTGGTTAGAAAACGCACACACTAATATTTTTAGGGGTTTCTGAGTCTTGAGGATTTCAATAAAGGGTAGTGAAGGGCAGGGGTCATAACCTTAAAGCAGAAGAGATACCCCCCTCTAATTATATTGACAGATGGCTTGTTAAGAGTGGAATAGCAAAAAAAAAAAAAAAAAGTGGAATAGTCACTACTTAAGACTGGGCATTGCTCCAGTTGTACTTTAGTGGACTCTTGCTGCACATTACAAAGTGCAATAATTATTTTATGCTAGTAACCCAAGAGTTGTACAACTCCTATTATGTGGAGAACAAATGCATAAAATGTTTAATTACCATTAAAAAGTTTTAAGCGTGCATTTAATTGCTTTAGGATACAAACAAACAAGGAAATATCACGGGCTTGTTGAAAAACAAACTTCTAGAGTGTGTCTTACTCCTATAAGCAGTTTATTATTGACTTAGAAAAAACAAAGACTCACTGCCACTGAGTCGATGCTGACTCACTTAGACCCTACAGGACAGGACAGAACGGTCCCTGTGAGTTTCTAGACTAATTATTAACAGTAGAAAACCCTGTCTTTCTCCCAATTCTTATGGATAATCAATCGATATCTTTCAGTCATTAACAAGAAGAAACAAACCCACAGCCATCAAGGCACCTGCAGCTTATAACGATCTTCTGGTACAGAATCACATTATCCCAGAGGGTTCCCAAGCCTTTGGTCATTACGGAGCGTTAGACAGCTTTCTCCCACGGAGCAGCAACCACTGACCTTTTGGGCAGCCAAGCACTTAACCACTGTGCCACCAGCACTCCTTCTTTAGTAATTACCAAGATTTAATCCAGAAAAATATCCTAATACATTTCTAAAGTACTTAATTAAAAATATCTTGGAAAATATTCAGAGCTCAAGACTTCTAGGTTTATTACAAAAATTAAGATTCTGAGGATATATCATTTAATTGAAGATGTTTGTTGTTTGTTTTTGATTTATGTATAGTGCTATTTCTATCAGCTAAGTTTTGGATTTAATCCCTATATGTTTAATTTCACTATTCATGCGTAAAGCTTACTTGAGTCAGACTACAAAATGACAATTTGGAACACTGATCTGTACAAACTGACCTAACTTACTGAGTGGGCACTTAGTTGGGGAAGCTGGCTTCACTGATTCCGGAAGCTTGAGCTTGGACTTCCCATCCCATGGAGCAAGTAAGGCTGAGTGCTTTGGGGCAAGAGGTTGGCTTGTGGAGTGGGGTGTCTCTGGGCACGTAACTGAAGGAGCTGAGCTTGCTCACCCAGAAGTGGAG